AAACAATGCCATAAAAATTATGATATTAGTCATATTTATTACAATAAACATTACTCAAATTGTACTTAATGATAACAAATTATGTAATTCAATAGTAAAGAAAATGAAAAAGATTGCTTTAGTTGAAGGAAACTTTTTTCTTAGTACAGCGTTTACTTTAATTTCAATAAAGTGTAATGTACAACATTTTTTAATATCATTGTAAATAAGAAAATAATTATAAGCAAACATTAAATATTTAATTATTTTTGACATTTTTCGCATAAAATTGATAATATACTATCTATTTGCGAATAATCTCATAATTCAACATAATTAAATTGTTTAATTTTATGTATCGTAAATTCATTATAATTTATGATGCTTAAAGCGACATAAAATTATATTACTTAAGAAAAATAAGCGCGTGGTATACAATATCACAATATGAATAATATATTTACTTAATTATTTTAAAATTGATATTGTTACCAAGTCGATTATTATTGCATGGAGAATTACATCTCGACAACATTCACTTCGAAATTGTTGATCTTTTATTTCTATGAATATTGAATTTTTTTTTTTTTTTTTTTTTGTCCAATATTTCAGGTAATACAAATACATAGATAATATAAATAAATAGACCGAATAAAGTATCTACTCTTTTGCAGTGTAAGATATTTTCCTGCACTTGAATCGATGTGTTCATCACATGTGTTTGCACACGATTGTTAATTTCCTTTCGTCGATCAAAATTGTCGGCTTAAAACGCATCATCCTAATTATTTCTGAAATTTTCATTCACATCAGACGTATTAGTTTAATCATTGGTATAATTGAATTTCAATTATGTATTTCAATATTATACAGGAATATAGTTTATTGGTTTATTAAAGATACGTATTGTCGCATATTGTATATTGTATTTTCAATTTGAATAGTCCTAAGCTTCGAAGCATCGAAGGATATCTCACGAAACATAGGTCGTTCCATCCAAACAAGATAATAAATTATAGTGCAGGTGTGCGTGAATTAACATCCTTAGAAATAATGAATTTCAACGCTCTACAAGGCACAACTTGAAGGCAGATTGCACACTATCTTATTTGCTAATTTCTGAATACTAATTTTACAAGCTTTTTTCTTCTCAGCGCGTAACCTGAATGTAAACAACGCATGTCGAGCGAACGCTATATTCATATTCGACTGATGTAGCTCATCGTACGGTAGTGAAGTATCGAGAGTGAAATCTGTTGGCACCTACCGCCATATCCGATGAGCCTGTTGTTTTGTCCGTTTAAACAACCGCACGTGCATGGCTAACTTGTAACTGGTGTAACGTACATCTCTATTATTACGATTTATTTATTATTTGTTTTTAACTAGTGACTCGAGATGCTTATAATTGATGTTTTTGTATATGTGCGTGTGCGTGTGCGTGCGTGTGCGTGCGCGCGCGTGAAAGAGAGAGAGAGAGAGAGAGAGAGAGAATGAAAAGATAGGTTCGTTGATCTCGTTGATAAGACGCTTGCGATATTTTTATTCGAAGCGATTTTCAGATGTTTACCAACGCGTAAAAAATGCTAACCAAACTACAGCGAGTGGATTAATGTTATACGGTAATAGTACAAATTCAGTACTCCGTCACTCCTCTTTGCAAATGCACTAAATTATAAAATCGCATCAATATGAATTATATCTGTTTTATTAATTGCGACAAAGTAACAGCGTAAGCACTTGTCTTACGACTTTCACATTGCGCTGCCTATTGTTCCAATAATCTTAACAATTTTATTTGCAAAAAAATATACGATTAATTGTATCGTAAGTTGAAACTATTTTCCGACACATTATCATACATAATTTTGATAGAAATTCTTAATTTAACTCTGTAGAATAAAGGCGAGTATCATTTGTAGACTGCAAATCAATCGGTTATTTTTGAAAATTACTAAAAAAAATTCATTTTTATGTAAAACGGAAGGGGAAAATTATACCTTTATTAAATATAACGATAATCTATCTTTAAATATAATTTTAATCATTAAGAATGTTGATTTGATTAATTTCTTAAATTTTAATTATTACGTAGGAAAATAAAGCAGTTTACGTTTGCTTTAACATGAAATTTTTATGCCAAATAGTACTATTTTAGTCATTTAATATTTTTTACGGTGTTATAGAGTGAGTGATAAATTTCTTTATATTTACAATTAAAAACAAAAACAAAAAACAAAAAACAAAAAACAAAAAAAACAAAACTTAACATCAAGTGCAAAGCTAATTTTAATTCAATTTAATATGTAATTTAAAGATGTATAATGGCATGATATGATAATATAATTCTTAGAATAAAATTATTAATTGAATAGCCTTATCAGACGCTTCAGTATGTATAACGTTTTTCTCTTATCCTCGTTATATCAGTAATTATAATTTGAGAAAAAAACATTATAAATTATAACTTTCACCTTAAAAAATATTACGAAATGTCAGAATCTTGCTATAAGAATGCGAACTTACTTCAGTTTATTTGAAACGTTTTGTGCTCTTAAAGCAAACTATTTCTGCTTCACGGTTTTTCTTTTCGTGAAAGCGTGTCAGCTGCGCCTGATTTTTTACTTTTTGAAAAAAGCTTGTGAGGACTACTAGCGTCATTATCTAGAAAAACCTAAGCTCAATGTAATCTTACATTGATCTGCTTATAATGCCCAGTCACTTACCTCTTTTCTTCGATAATAATTTTATTCAACAATATCTTTAAAACAATATTGTTTTTAGAAATATTGATTGTACGTACTGTTTGTAAATTAAGAGAATAAATAATTGATTAGCACTAAAATTAAAATTCAAACATTGCTCATTGGCACAAAAACTTTCAACGACAAATAATTAATTAAATACAATTCACACGCGCAGACCTTTCGGTAAACAATATAATTGAATAATCAAAATTAGTTGTAAGAAATAATTTAAACAGCTTCGAATCCTTATGTATAAATCATTTATAAATTAGCTAAATTGTTGTTCTTTTTATCACACAATACTTTATACGATATACAATACTTTCAACTATTTTCAATTTTTTGAAAATAATGTGTTGTTTTTGAGCAATTAGTCATATATATTTAATGGTACTAATTCATCAATAATTTAAACGAATTTCGAGTTTCATAGTTTTTTGTACGCTGGAACACGTTAATTTTGTAATATTTAGTAAGCAATAATTGTTTTAACCGTACAAATTTTTCTCTCGAACTTGTGTCGATTGTACGGATCATTAATTGTAAAATAGCAGATTATTGACATTTTTAAAAATTCGCATCAATTAATGAATGTCCGATTAATATACTTTTTTTTATCAAATAAAACATTTTTTTTTTTAACGAGTTTGAATTTCTTATTGTACATTAAATTCAATAAAACATTCGGATCTTTTTTTTTATTTTTTCTTTTTTTTTTAAGATTTCGTTTAAGCTAAAGTCAGTTTATTTCATTATTTATAATATGTTCTCAGCTATTTGAATAGAATTTAAAATTGTTAACTAATAAACCTTGAGTAGTGTTTGTAACATCGAATTTTTTAAAATATCATCATGTCTTGAACTTACGTTGTTATATGTGTTTTTGAAATTTGAGTAGAAAACTGATTTTATAATAATTTTTTTGATAATTTTGATTTTTACAGTATTATGTATATGTAAAATATTATGTAATTTGATTATAAAATGTATGCTAATGATATAATGTGTAATGTTAAATGGAAATTGAGCCTCTTCAATTATATACTTTTAATGAATGAATAATTCTTAAATGAAAATGGATTTTTGAAGATTATTTAAAAATTGTTCTTGTTCTTCTTATTGTTATTTTATTGTTGTTGTTATTATTATTATTATCATTATTATTATTATTATTATTATTATTATTATTATTATTATTATTATTATTATTATTATTATTATGGTTATTATTACAAAAGAAAATATTTTAATTAAAATTTTTATTTGTGTTTATTTTTGTTTTTTCTTTTGTTTTTAATGATACGAATAATTGTGGATGATTTTATTTATAAACCGTTTTTCTTTTATTTTTATCTAATAGTCAATGCCTATCATCTTGTAAAATTAACAATTAAAATTTTTTTTTTTTTACATAATTAAGCAATTATGTACAATACACTATATCCAATTGAATTAATTATTATATTTTATCGACTATTTATAATAAAAATGCGTTTAAAAAATTGCACTTCAATAGAAAATTTCGGAATTAATATAATAGTGTACTGATTGCGTGATTTGATAAAATATTAATTTCCGCTTTTTATGCACTGATATTTTTTTTTTTTTTTTTTTTTTTTATTTTAGCATCTTATATTGTACATTTGAAACGAATATGCGTTCGAGCGATCAAGCTAATGGATATATCACACAAACATATATATATATATATATATATAAATAAATATAACGGTTAGCATCAGTTTTAAATTATGTTAAATTAAGCGTATAAAGTGGAAGAAAAATCAGTATCGACGCGCGGTATGGTATTTTTTTTTTTAGTGCGGAAGTGCTGTGGCTATGGAACGTGCCGCTAAGGATTTAATTTTTTAATCACTGGCTTATTCAACGTTCTGGAAATTGACGTATTATTAATGCATCGGCTCTTTCGACGCAAATCACTCGCTTCCTTATATCGTGAAGCTTATCCGGCAAGTAGTCTCTTCTTAAAAAGTTTTATAGTTAGTTACCCGGGAAGCGTAAAAAGAAATTAACTATAGCTATTGGAGGTCGACTGTAACGAATGCGTAACGTAAGGTAATGTGCAATTTGACGTTTGACGTCGGATGAAGATGATCGGGTGCGGAGAACGGCAGTGATAGCAACAGTGTAGCACAAGTCGCGGCGACGTGCTTAATCCACTCCTCATCCATCCCCGTCACTTATCCACCCTCAAAGTTAACGAAATAATAGCCCATAAGGGGCGAGGCTGTAGCTCGTGATAAGTCATCATACTATTGGCCTGGGTGAATGTCTCGCTGAGGAAGAGCAGGAGGACGACGAGGGCCGCTCCCCGTACGCGGCTCCAGCGGTCGGTTGCTCTCGGGCGCACCAGTGGCGTCGGCCGGGGCATCGGGGGGCCTGTTGTCCTGGTCCCGTCGGCAAGGCCTTGGCTCTCATCCCGAACGCATCCTCGGCCTCTAACAGCCGCGGCGGCGCTCTGGCCACGAGGCTCGGAGCCGATCCTCGTTCCGGCGGCGCTGGTACAGCATCGGCCCGGACGTATAGGGCCGCCGTGAACTCGAAAAGAGGGAGAGAGGCGGCCGCGCGCCTGGGACACACGAGGTGGTGAGGCGCGCACGGCTCGCGGTTTACGATGCAACTGCTCGGAGCCGCGTCCCGTTGTTCGCCGAAGAGAGACTCGAGTCCGGGCGTATTCGCACGCTGCCGCCGGCGCTGGTACACTTTCACCGCACCGAGGTACCACCGGCCTGCGGGGAATACGGACGCGCAGCCCTTCCTCGCGGCGCCTGCCTCCCTCCCCGGACGTCGCGAGTCGGCCTCGCGCCCTGAGTTCCATAGATCGGCATACCCCTCCGCCAGGACTAGGCTACGCCGTGACTTGGTTGGTGGGGCTGTGGCTTTTCGGTTTGGCGCCTCTGGCGCCCATTGGTGGGGCTTTCATCCGGTCGCTGGCATGGGCTTCCCCGAGCGGAAGCTGCGCCCTCCTTATTCAGAAGCATTGGCCATCTGGCGGTCGTTCGTTATTTACGAATTTGACGTTCCTCGAAGGTTGATAAGAATGTGGGGAGGGACGCGGTAGCATTGAAAAGATTGCTTGTTTTCATTTATGACTGTAAAGAATTTCGGCCGTGATATTCTTCGTATGGGATTTAACGAATCGAGCGTCGATCGAGCGCTTATATTCGTATCGGCGCGATGATTGTATTTGCATAAGCCGTCGAATGTTAAAGAAATAAGGACAAGGTTTACTCGTGAATATCGGAAGATTTCAACATCGAGGCTAAACAAATGAATGCAGAAAATACAAAAATAAAAAAAAATAAAAAATTGTTAAGCAGACGTATCGGAATAATTTAATGTTGTTCGTTTTGGTCATCTCTTTGGTCATTATGCGTTACCGAACATGAAGAAATACTTGCGACAATGTTGACTTAACGTTACGTATTTAGTTTCTGACCTTTCGTAAAATTTTTAGCCTCCGCTACACAAAGTTACATAAGATAACTAAATATTGATAAATATTTTAAAATAAACAACAAAGGCTATTTTCATTACTGCATATGAGCTTTACTCAGTGTTTACGAATTCCAAAAGGGATGGGCGGAGGGGGGGGGGGGAAAGGAGAACAGTACGCTATTATGTTTTTTGATGCTTATAAGGTTGGATCAGAATTTCTTTGGAATGGTTTTTATACTATAATGGTCTTATACAAAGCCAGGATATTGTTTTTCTTCTTTTTTTGTTTTTATATTTTGATAATTGAGCATTAATAATACTAATGTAATGGCATCGAACAGTGTGTTAGTTATAACTTTGGGGTTGAATGAATTCTTCCCAAGTCTTACGGTAATTCATATATTATACAAATTTTCTATAATAAACGTCCACTTACACTAAGCTCTAACATTTTCCATATACAATTTTTATATTTACAATTTATACGGGCAACGATAAGCATACAAAAATTTCATTTCAATTTATGATTTAATAATTTTAATTCGCATATGTGTCGAGATTCATTTTTTATACAAACGGGTACACACAATATTGCCACGCGAATGCTTTAAGTTAAGAATTACGCAAATTAATATTGTTCAATTAATTTTTCCTCTAACGAACATGCATTTGGCTCTAATCAATGTTGACGACTTCCTACTGCCCGATTTTGGCTGAATCGAACTCGTAAGAGAACAAAATAGAAGCTTTATACGAAACAAAAACGAAAATTCAGTATTATAATGTCTTAAGCAACTTCATCCTTCGTTATTCTCTATTCCATATATCTAATATTAACATTGAATTTTTCAATTTCTTTGTTAAACTATTAAGATATTAAAATTTATTACACGGCCAGTCAATTTAGATTATTATCCGACGAGCCGATTTCTTCATGTCAGACACGTCGCAACCTTACTAAAAGACCAATCCGACGAATAGCATATAATTACTTAAAGTCACTCCACCATATCTCGATCGTCTAAACTTTTAATGCCAATTGTGCAAATTTTATTATTCATCGATACTCGAATAATATTTTCAATTTAATTTAACAATATTTTTAACTTTCTATACAATGAGACTACAATTGCCAAGTACATATTCACGTTAAATGCTTACATTAATATTTAATCGTTAGTTTACATTTTTTTTTTTTTTTTTTTTTTTTTTTTTTTTTTTAATTGCATTTACGCATCGTTTTCCGTATAAACATTATTAAAACTTATATGATTTTTATTCTTGCTCGTTATTTTTCTTGCTGTTTTCTTCCTTGTCTTTGCAATCGATTATAATGCACTCACGCTCTTTTCTCATCGCTTTTATCGAATTCAAAAGCCTACTAAATTTAACATTACATTCTAAATAATTATAAGCCTGTCATATTACTCATGTAATTGATATGCCAACTGCTTGCGATATTCCTTCTATATATTATATAAAAACATCAACTGCTTAGATAGAGGCAATCATTTATTCTAGTCCAGTAGTTTTGTTAATTTTTTGCCTCGTTTATTAAGTATCTTGTCAAGGTCGAATTTCAATCTAACCAACACCGAACCATCGATAAATGTGTGCTACGTTAGAAATGTATTTAGCCCACTTTCATTTGCTTGAAAATACGTGGCATTTAACTAGCACTTTAATCCCTATTTGTCAGTATAATAATGTATATTGGAGAAATAATAATTTTTCGCGTGCGTCGAGCCAGTGATGAGTATATTAATAACTTATTCGTAATTTCGTTATAGAATGCGCATTTGAAAAAGTAGTTGGGCTTGTTGTCTAATAAGTCTAATAATAAAGTGCTTTAACGATTCTGTTTATGGCAATTAATCCTATTTGTTTGGTGGACTGTTAAATTTGAGCTTTTGTAAGACTTACAGGAGGAATATTATTTACACTCTATGCTATTTCAATATAATCGTGTGAATTTCCTAAATTCCATTCAAACATTTTGCTATTTGGATTAAAAGCTATTTAAATTGCAATTGGAAAGTTACTTAGTCCGAAAGTTTTATGAATTTTACCATGTACAAGATTTCTCTAAAAAATTTCTTTTTATAGGCGTATGAGCATTATTTTCGTGATTTTGCTTATTCACTTTATGTCATTTTATCGCATAGAGAGGAAGGGAGAGAGAGAGAGAGAGAGAGAGAGAGAGAGTGAGAGAGAGAACGAGAGAGAGAGAGATACAGAGAAATCACTAACACTGATAAGTTATTCGTTGACGAGTAATTGTTGTGGATTTCGGTTAAATTTCTTTTACGTTATGTTGCGGGATATGGAATTACCGGTAGTACTTAAACGACTTTATGTGATATTATGTAAGCAACTTCAGATGAAACACTTGATAATTCAAGTAAAAATGCTTTGTTTATGAGTTATGGAAGAAAATAGTGAACTAGTTTTTTCCAATAATTTTGGTTATGAGTGAAATGACGAAACGTTCTTTGTTCGTTTAAGCTTCGTACTTTCCTTATTCAGTTCCTAGATGTTTTAACAATCATTTTAACAACAAAATTTCATAATCTTGCTAACGCTGTGTATGATCTACAAATTATATTTGACTCACAAACATTAACGGCGTTTCCAAAGCATTCTTTTGTTTAATTAATGCACCGAAAAAAATGTGAAATTGACTGAAATTGTTGAAAAGTACGTATGGCTTAAAAATACAGAAAAAATGGCTGATTTATCATTTTAATTCGGTAGTATATTGTGCTCGTATATAATATTTTAAAATCCTACCGTTATCCACGATTCTTTTGTTGTTTATTTTTAGCTTTGAGCGCAATACGATTTAATACGAATATCAATAAATTGCATTTTAATTAATTCGAGATTTTTTAACTTAATCTTAAACGTTGCAGTGTAACGGTGTATTTCAATTTTATCAATAAAATCCATTTAATTCGCGACTTGGGTAATTGTGTTAGTAATTTAGTCGCATCAAATAGAAGAATCGCAAAAGTAGTAATCTCCGAGGGACCTAAATTGTAGGCAAAAGTATAACTGAACAATGAAATAACGATAATGAGGTCGTCATTATTTCATTCGTTATTTAAAGTGCAGAATTCATTTATTTTAATTAAAATTTATCTGATAATAGAACATTGGAATCTGCCAGTTTTGAAAAATTACCAATTCCTCTTATATATCCATACCAAGTAACAAAGAACAACTACAAAAATTAACATTAATAATAACAAGAGCAACAAGAGAAACAACAGCAACAATGGAATAGGATAGCAATAATAGCATAATTAAGGATAAGAGGAAAAAATAAAATAACAACGACAAATATAACAATTTCTTCCATTTCGCCATTATTATTTACCTTTCAAGTAATCCGGATTAAAATAGCATTCGAAAGTTTTTAATTAACTTTAGATTAAAGTGGTTAAAAAATTGAATTAAACCGAAGTCATCAGAGGCAATTCGACAGCGTAATTTAGTTATAATTCAAATGCATCTCGACGTTAATAAATTAATGGAAGGGGGAAGTGCCATTGCGAATGTGGAAATTACGCGGAATAGCTGGGAACGCGATTAACTAAAGCCAACGCGAATTTCCGATTAAACGAATTGGCCGGCTCGAGCGAGCTATTTGACAAATAAGATATTTGACAAATCACAAATCGCTCGCTCATACCGCATGCAAATGCAAGCAAGAGAATCTTACGACAAAATCACGTGCCCAGACAGCGAATGAAGTATCAAGGAAAGACGAAATATATGGTATCGGCCGTCGAGGAGTTGCGTCGCTGGCGCGGCGACGGGGGGGGGGCTCGAAGTGCCAAAGTGCCGCCGGCGAATAAAGTAAGTTCGGAGCGGCTGCCGACCCTCGGGCCATCAATCACGTGCGTCGGGCCGCCAAGTCACGCAAGGGCCCCTGTCGCCGTTACGGATTGCGCTCGCTCGCCACCAGCTATTATCCGGCTAATTCCCCTCGCGCTCTAGCCCGTCCAATTATTCGGCCCGGGCCTCGGGTGCTCGTTGTCGATGGTGGGGCGGCGGTGGGGCGGCTGAGGGGCGGCTGAGGGGTAGCGAAGAGGCGGTGTGGCCCGAGCGACAAAATCGAGGGCCACGTGGCTGACCGCGAAGCCCCCGCCGACACCTCTCCAACGCTTTGCGCAATCACCGCCGAGAATCACTTATGGAAAACGGCAATTTTCT